GTCACCATTAACAGATGAATGGATAAATAACATGTGATATATACATACAATGGAATATTATTAAGTTTTAAAAAGAAATGAAATTCTAACATATGCAACAATATGGATCAACCTTGAAGACATTTTGTTAAGTGAAATAAGCCACACATAAAAGGACAAATATTATATGATTCCACTCATGTGAGGTACCTAAAGTCGTCAAATTTATAGACAAAAAGTAAAGCTGGGCACTGTGGCTTCACCTGTAATCCCAACACTTTGGGAGGGGAGGGGGTAGGATCTCTGGAGCCCAGAAGTTTGAGACCAGCCTGGACAACATAGCAAGACCCTTCACTAAAAAAATAAAATGAGAAAATAGCCAGGTGTGATGGTGCACACCTATAGTCCCAGCTACTCAGGAGGCTGAGGCAGGAGGAGCCATTGAGCCCATGAGCTTGAGGCTGCTGTGAGCTATGATTCCCACCACTGCACTCCAGCCCCAGCCTGAGCAACAGAGAGAGACCCTGTCTCTAAAAATAAAAAAGTAAAAAAGCAGAATGGTGTTTGCCAGAGGCTGGGGCTAGGGAGAATGGGGAGTTATCATTTAATGAGTATGAAGTTTCAGTTTTGGAGGATGAAAATTTTCTGGAGATGGATGGTAGAATTCTTACACAACAATGTGAATGTACTTAATATTACTGAATTGTACACTTAGAATAGTTAAAATAGTTAACTTTTATGCTATATGTATTTTATCACAATTTTTTTAAAAAGAAATAAATCTTTAAAGAATATTGGCTAGTAGAAAGTCTTTTATCTAATATTATTTTACCTCTTCATTTGTATCTTTGAACTATGAATAATCCATTTCCTTCCTATGAATAATTAATTCTTTCCTTCTTGTCCAGGGACGGCCCCCCATCTCAACTCCCAGAAGTCTCCAATACCTTTTCAGGAAGCCTTTAAAGTAAAACTAATTTCATTATAATATAATACTACAATATAATACTATATTATTTCCCTTTTTTTAAACCTTCATTCTCTCAAATGAACATTAGCGTTTTGCTGAGGTCACGTGACGTGTGATATCACAAAAGACAGAATGCGATTGCAGCTAAGATAATTCAGCTGCCTTCTAGTAAGCCAAGCATGAAAGAGATTTGCAAAAATGTGAAACAATGCCACTCTTCTCATGAAATCTTTTTGTTTGGGGAAATGTAGTTACTTTTCATAAAACATGTCATTTATATTAACATGTAATGAGATATTATTATTATTTTAAATGAATTAATACATATTTTTTAAATTTCTCGATTTAAATTTCTTTTTTTTTTTTCAATTTTCTCTTTTTGTAGGATTTAGAAGTTCCAAAGAGCAGGCTGGGTAACATATTTCTAGCACTGCCTTCTACAATTTTCTGGATTCTTTAATACAATCGCATAGGGAAAATGTGGTTTATGTAGCCAAGCATTGCTTAGATGGGTATAAAAAGAATATTGACTTAAAATTTGCTGGCTCACATTATCATGTTGATGAGGTACTATAGCAAAAGTACCTCATCAACACGAGGCTGATTTGAAGCTCTTTCAACATGATTGAGTTAAAAGATTCCAAAAGAAAAGAAACGAACAATGTAATTTACTATTACTGCTCCTACTATTGTTACCGTAGGTAGGTAGTCAGACATGAACAGGGCAGGAGAGGGCTCCTCCCACCAAGTCCCCAACCAGGAATGTTAGGCAACCATCAGGTAACTGTCTAAAATCACTGGTCGCAGCCAGCCCAGAGAAAGGCAGTCTCCCTACAGATAGGAAAAACCTGAAAATGGTGATCAGTAGCTTCTCAAGAGTTGGTCGAGTGGGCTCAGACATGCGCACTAAGAAGCAAAATGGCAGAGTTTAAGTGGTGTATGACCTCCTAGGGACATGCGGCTTGTAAGGGAAGAACACCTCAAGTGAGCGTGCGTACAATTCCAGTACACACGCTGCACATGCTCACCTCCCCAGTGCTAGCAGGCCACTGCGCATGCAGACAGCCAACCCCAAGGGAAGAAGGGGAGAAAGGCCACAAGACCCCAGAAGTATGCCAACATATAAAGCCCCAAGTCAAACTGCACACTTGTCTTTCAAGCTGCCCACTTGGCTTTCTCCGCTCCCCACCACTCTTTTTGCCCAGGCTGGAGAGCAATGGTGCAGTCTCAGCTCACTGCAAACTCGGCCTCTCGGGTTCAAGTGATTCTCCTGCCTTAGCCTCCTTAGTAGCTGGGATTACAGGCACCGGCTACCATGCCTGGCTAATTTTGTATTTTTAGTAGAGACAGGATTTCACCATGTTGCCTAGGCTAGTCTCAAACTCCTGATCTCAGGTGATCCGCCAGCCTTGGCCTCCCAAAGTGCTGGGATTACAGGCGTGAGCCACCGCACCCGGCCTCTAAAGCTTTTTAATAAACTTTTTCACTCCTGCTCTAAAACTTGCCTCCTGCCTTATGCCCCTCAGTTGAATTATTTTTCTGAGGAGGCAAGAATTAAAGTTGCTGCAGACCCATAGGAATTCACCACTGGTAACATATTTTGGTGCTGTGTGAGTCGAATGACTTCCACTGCTAACACTATCATACTTTTTTAAAAACTTTCACTTTAGGTTTGGTGGTACCTGTGAAGCTTTGTTACATAGGTAAACACGTGTCATGGGGTTTGTTGTACATATTATTTCCTCACCCAGGTATCAAGCCCAGCACCCAATAGTTATCTTTTCTGATCTTCTCCCTTTTCCCATCCACCCTCCTCAAGTAGACCCCACTGTGTTGTTTCCTTCTTTGTATTCATAAGTTCTTATCATTTAGCTCCCACTTGTAAGTGAGAACGTGTGGTAGTTGGTTTTCTGTTCCTGCCATAGTTTGCTAAGGATAATAGCCTCCAGGTCCATCCATGTTCCTGCAAAAGGCATGATCTTCTTTTTTATGGCTGTATCCATTTAAATTTCTAAAATGGTAAATAACGATAGTTACAGCCCACATAAGGAAAAGCTCTTTAAGGTCCCTCGTGTGTTTAGGGGTCCTGAAACCAAAAAGTTTAAAAACTTCTGGTTCAGTTTATAGGGTGATGAGACTAAGCTTATTAAGATGCTAGCAAACTAACATTTTTTATCTTAGAATTCTATCCATTACCTCAGGTTAATCAAGGATTAGCCAACCTCTTCTAAATTCAGACAACCCAAAATTGTCTGTGAATGTAAACAGTTGTTGTTGAATGCAAGTTAAGTGATACTTGCTGATAAATAATTCTGAGTCTGCAAACTTCTGGGCCAGACTTCATTGCTACTGGATCAAAATTCATGCCTGCACATAGAGGATGGTAATTAAATATCCTAACACAAATTAGGGGTTTGGAAGAAATGTACTCTTTAATTGGGTACCTTATCTATTCTGTGGTCACTTAAGTATAACCCACTAACTCTAGAGTTCTTATTCTACTTAAACATGCAATTTAAAATCCATTATCCAGCAGTATAATTCGAAAAGGCTGCATAAAGTCTGGTTATGCAATAGTAACATCAGAAATATAGTCATAGTTTAAGATAGGTCATGCATTAGTCTCTTAAGATAGTCTTCTTATTAGTTTCCAAAACAACGTTTTGCTATCTGAAAGCTCCTTCAGAAAAAAATGGTACTGGTAAATGCTGACTGAAATGAAATGTCTTAATTTTTTTCTCCTTCGCAGGAAATCAGATCACCTACTGGCATAATGGTTAAAAGCATAAACTTGGGAGATAGGCAGACCTGCATTTCAATCTCTGCTGGAATACTCAGCCACTGTGTGACCTCAGGCAAATTGCTTACCCTCTTTAAATCTGCTTACCTATCAGTAAAATGGAGATACTAACACCTTTACTCAATGGATTAAGAAATAAATTAAGTAATGGGTAAAAAGCAATTAGCCCAAGGTCATGTCCATACTGAGCATCTGATAAATATTAGCTACTATTCATAAATTATTATTGGCCTTTGTTACAAGATTGAACTAGTTCTAGTTAGAAGTAAGAGAGGCTGGGCATGGTGGCTCATGCCTGTAATCCCAACACTTTGGGAGGCCAAGGTTGCCGGATTACCTGAGGTCAGGAGTTTGAGAACAACCTGGTTAACATGGCAAAACCCTATCTCTACTAAAAAACTACAAAAATTGGCCGGGCGCAGTGGCTCACACCTGTAATCCCAGCACTTTGGGAGGCCGAGGAGGGTGGATCATGAGGCCAGGAGATCGAGACCATCCTGGCTAACACGGTGAAACCCCATCTCCACTAAAAATACAAAAAGTTAGCCCGGCGCAGTGGCGGGTGCCTGTAGTCCCAGCTACTCGGGAGGCTGAGGCAGGAGAATGGCGTGATCCTGGGAGGCGGAGCTTGCAGTGAGCCAAGATCACGCCCCTGCACTCCAGCCTGGACGACAAAGTGAGACTCCATCTCAAAAAAAAAAAAAAAACTACAAAAATTAGTCAGGCGTGGTGGTGGGCACCTGTAATCCCAGCTACTTGGGAGGCTAAGGCAGGGAGAATTGCTTGAATCTGGGAGGCGGAGGTTGCAGTGAGCCGAGATGGCACCATTGCACTCTAGCCTGGGCAACAGAGCAAGACTCCATCTCAGAAGATAAAATAAAATAAAATGAAAACAAACAAACAAAACAACAAAAGACAAAAGAAAAAAGAAAAAAAAATTGTAATCCAAAGTAAGTCTCCTCTAACCCTGTTTCATTGGTTCTAAAATGAACACTGTTTTATATTATAACACCTTTGTGATTTGGATACATCTTACAATTGATAATACATATTCACTGCTTCACTGGCAGATTATTTTTCTTTCATTATGCTAATAAAACAATGGCATATCTTACAATTCATGGGACTTAAGTTCAATGAAATGCAGTAATTGAGCTTTCTACTAAAAAATACTAACAGCACACAAATAATTCCCCAAAATGCATCCTCTATCATTGTACTTATCACACTAACCTGTGATCTCTCCCCCAGCCCTAAGCCTGAAATGCGTATCATCTGGCACAAAGACATCGTTTACATCTGTTGAATAGCCGCGTGCTTAGACTTGATCTGACCTTATTCACCACTCATACTGTAAGTCTCTGAGTGTAGTCTATTCCTCTTTTCTCTGAATTCAACAGTCTTTAATTATATTGTGTCCAGTGTTGCTCGTACTCGTTTCATGCATGTGAATCTCATCTACCTGGCTATAGTGTAAGCTTATAAGGACTGAGCCTGATAAACGTTTTACCTTTCCTAAAGTGCTGGCAGCATGACATTTACAGATGTTACTTGACTTACTTTGGGGTTACCACCTGCTAAACCCATCGAAGTTGAAATATCTCGAGTTGAAAATGCATTTAATACACCCAACCTACTGAACACCACAGCTTAGCCTAGCCTACTTTAAACGTTCTGAGAACATTTACATTAGCCTATAGTCAAGCAAAGTCATCTAACACAAAGCCTATTTTATCATAAAGTGTTGAATATATCAAGTAATGTATTGAATACTGTACATTACTTCAAAATTGTAGTGGTTTCGTACCCTCATAAAGTTGAAAAATCGGAAGTCAAACCGTCATAAGTAGGGGACGATCTATACTTCGTTGCCTAAAAGTTTTTTTTTTTGACACTGTATTAGGAGATATGATCATATTCCCGCTAGTCTGATTCCCCTAGAATCTTGGGTAGGAAAATGTTTGAATTCCTTAGGCTACTCTAACAGTTCAAAGCCCTGAGAATCTCTTCCTCCACAACTACTTGTTGCTAATGAAGCTTTTGCCTGTTGATTGAAAGAGTCAGACCTACAGTGAAAGCATTAACTTATAGAATAGATGGTCTCTGCCATAGCTGATACTGTCAGTGAAGCACCCACAGCTTTTCTGATCCTTTTTTAGCTCTGGGGTCCATCTCCCACTTTCTGTTTGGTTTCCTTTCAATCAATCCACTACACTATTATTCCCCAACCCAGAATTGTCCCAAGGGAACCATAGCCATTGCCGGAGTAGTGTCTGAGTATGAAAGCAAAACTTATTTGCCTCAAAGCTAGATAAGCCTGAAGGCATGACTTATGCTCCAGAGCTCTCCACAGGATCAGGCTGAGGCCAGACATCATCCGGAATTATACCTTTGCTTGGCCTTTCTCCTTTCCCTGTCTTACTCCTCATTCTCTTCTTAAAGTAGTGAGGCAATTAGGATCTGTACTTAATAGTGTCTGGGTTGTAGCATAAAAGTAATGGAAAAAAGCTTTGTGTTCCATGATTTTAAATATTACAGTTTAATAAGTCTTTGTTATTCAGCCAGGATGTGTATCTTTGGAACTCACAATGAGCAATATAAACCATCAACGAAACCAGACCTCAGGAGTCTTTCTGCCCTGCCCTTTAGAAGGTCACATTCTGCCCTGAGAAGGATGATAGAAATAAAGAAACAGCACTTTGAGAGGCCGAGGCAGGCAGACTGCTTGAGGTCAGCAGTTTGAGACCAGGCTGGCCAACATGGTGGAACCCGTCTCTATTAAAAATACAAAAATTAGCTGCCCATGGCAGAGCACACCTGTAACCCCAGCCACTCGGGAGCCTGACACACAAGAATCGCTTGAACCCAGGAGGTGGAGGCTGCAGTGAGCCGAGATTGCACCACTGCACTCCAACCTGTGTGATAGAGTGAGACCCTGTCTTGAAAGAAAGAGAGAGGCTGTCACCCAGGCTGGAGTGCAATGGTGCAATCTCGGCTCACTGTAACCTCTGCCTCCTGGGTTCAAGCAATTCTCCTGCCTCAGCCTCCCAAAGTAGCTGGAATTACAGGCACGCGCCACCATGCCCGGCTAATTTTTGTACTTTTAGTAGAGACGGGGTTTCATTATGTTGGTCAGGCTGGTCTTGAACTCCTGACCTCATGATCTGCTCACCTTGACCTCCCAAAGTGCTGGGATTACAGGTGTGAGCCACTGTGCCCAGCCCTGACCAAATATTTCACAATCAATTCTAATTTATTTACAGATGACATTTATCTATTTCCACTTTTGACAATGCTTTTCTGATGAGCACCTTAGTGGTTTTTTGGAATCAAATAATGCAAAATGAGTTCACTAATCCCCTAGTGCTGTCCAGCATGCAGTCCACATTTCAGTAAAATGCTACATGATCACTTTACAGAAATGCATCCCCTAATTGGCTCCAATTCCTCTCTTACTATATCCCTTGTAATACTTTGGATTCTCAAAAACAAATCTCAAAATCTATTCTGATGAATGGAATAGTTACACAAGATAACACACTTTGGCCAGCAACTTCACAAATTTGATTTTTAAAATTTATTGGCTGGGCGCAGTGGCTCATGCCAGTAATCCTAGCACTTTGGGAGCCGAGGCGGGCGGATTACCTGAGGTTGGGAGTTCAAGACCAGCCTGACTAACATGGTGAAACCCTGTCTCTACTAAAAATACAGAAATTAGCTGGGCGTGGTGGTGCATGCCTGTAATCCCAGCTACTCAGGAGGCTGAGACAGCAGAATCGCTTGAACTCGGAAGGTGGAGGTTGCGGTGAGCCGAGATTGCGCTACTGCACTCCAGCCTGGGCTACGGAGCGAGACTTCATCGTAAATAAATAAATATATATATATATAAAAATAAAAATAAAATGTCTTTAAAACTCTTAGATGTGGTAGATGCTGGTAAATGGTGAAAAGAGCACAAGCCTTGAAGTGAGACAGCTCTGGAAATGAATTCTAGTTCTTCTTCTTTTATGGCCTTAAGCAAGTTGTTTAATCTTCCTGAGCTTCAGTTTGATTTCCTTAACAAAACTGTTATGAAAAAATGAATGGGCCAGGCGCGGTGGCTCACGCCAGAAATCCCCGCACTTTGGGAGGCCGAGGCGGGCAGATCACTTGAGATCAGGAGTTCAAGACCAGCCTGGCCAATATGATGAAACCCTGTCTCTACTAAAAGTACAAAAGAATTAGCTGGGCATGGTGGCGTATGCCTGTAGTCCCAGCTACTCGGGAGGCTGAGGCAGGAGGATTGCTTGAACCCAGGAAGTGGAGGTTGCAGTGAGCCGAGATCACGCCATTGCGCTCCAGCCTGGGTGACAGAGAGAGACTCCATCTCAAAAAACAAAAAATCAAAAATCAGGCCAGGTGCGGTGGCTCATGCCTGTAATCCCAGCATTTTGGGAGGCCGAGGCAGGTGGATCACCTGAGATCAGGAGTTCAAGACCAACCTGGCCAACATGGTGAAACTCCATCTCTACTAAAATAAATACAAAAATTAGCCAGGGGTGGTGGCGGGCACCTGTAATCCCAGCTACTCAGGAGGCTGAGGCAGGAGAATGGCTTGAACCCAGGAAGCGGAGGTTGCAGTGAGCTGAGATTGTACCATTGTGCTCCAGCCTGGGCAACAAGAGCAAAACTTCGTCTCAAAAAAAAAAAATTAGCCAGGTGTATTGGTGCATGCCTGTAATCTCAGCTACTTGGGAGACTGAGGCAGGAGAATCACTTGAACCCAGGAGAAACAGGTTGCAGTGAGCCGAGATCGTGCCATTGCACTCCATCCTAGATGACAGAGTAAGACTCCATCTCAAAAAGAAAAAGAAAAAAAGAAATGAATGAGATAATATATATCTGTGAGGGGGAACTGAGATGTTAATCTGTGTTTTGCTCAGGCTGCTATAGGTATTTTTGCCTCACTCATCTGGAGAAAGTAGCCCTCTGCTTCAGGGAGTGGTTAATAGCCCTAATGTTGCAGGGCCAAAATTAAAAGTTGCCTAACACTTAGAATACAACCTTTCATCTAGTCTTGGAGGTGATACTGCTGGATTATTGGAGGTGGCAAGAGGCACCAAGAGTTGGGAGAAGAAGTAGACAAATACTGGAAATAGAGTTATCTGGGGACTATCTCCCCAAGTTTAGGAGAATGTGCTTATAGGTTTCAAGAAAATCAGGGACATGTGCCCTACTCCCACACGGTACTGGGGTCCAAGGCCTCTGATGGTGATAGCTGACTTGGCAGTGTGTTGCACTGCAGGGGGCAAGAAGGGTTGACCACTAGACTTCAAGGCTTCCAATTTTAGTATACACCTCTGGCTCAACCTGTGCTCAAAAGTAGAGGAATCTCCAGGCGTGGTGGCTCATGCCTGTAATCCCAGCATTTTGGAAGGCCTAGGCGGGCGGATCACGAAGTCAGGAGATGGAGACCAGCCTGGCCAACATGGTGAAACCCTGTCTCTACTAAAGATACAAAAAATCAGCGGGCGTTGTGGTACACACCTGTAATCCCAGCTACTTTGGAGGCTGAGGCAGGAGAATCGCTTGAACCCAGGAGGTGGAGGTTGCAGTGAGCCGAGATTGCACCACTGCTCTCTAGCCTGGGCAATAGGGCGAGACTTCCCAAAAAAAAAAAAAAAAAAAAAAGGGGTAGAGGAATCACCTGTCTACAATCACTTATAGACCCAGGAGAGACGAGCTCTTGCCCTGGGTCCCACACTTTAGAGAGCCCTACTCTGGTCTTCCATGGGATTGTGTGCCTCTTTATGGGAGAAGAGGTCCACAAGGGGCATGTCCACCTGGAGCCCACACCTCACCCTTGTAGACCATGCTTCATATAAATGGGACCCCAGAATTCCAAGCCCAAATGGCCTGAACTATTTCCAGGTCCTGAGCCAGCCTCTTTCCAGGATTTACATTCCTGAAGGCAGCCGTGCCTCTGTGTACACGCCCTCACATGAAGGACAGTTAAAAGGTGACTTTTTTGGCAGGAATGGGGATTGGTGAACAGAGCTTGGTTGTTTAAGCTGGTCTACACACACACAGGCATGCAGGTTCCTTTATTGTCCTGAACAGAGGTGGGATGGGAAGTCAAAGAGGAGAAAAGTGTAAGAAGAGAAAACACCAAATATACAGGAAAAACAAGCTATTTTTTTTTCTATACTCATACCACTGTCAATACTTCATATCTGACTCCAGATGTGTGGGGTTTTGTTCCCATACTAAGCAACTCTCCAATTCTCTATGGACACCAACTGGGAATTAAACTCACTTCTGACACTATCTAGTGGGAGTCAGTGCAGATTCCGAAGGTTGAGGGCTCAGTCCCACAAGACTGCCCCCACATCAACTACCAGTCACAAGTCCAGTTTGCCACCTGTGCTTCTGACAGACTGTCTATAAACCAGAGGTTCTTATGACCTCCTCCTTAGGCTCAATCGTTTGCTAGAATGGCTCACAGAACTCAGGGAAACACTTTACCTACATTTACCCATTTATCATAAAGGATGCAACTCAGGCACAGCCAAATGAAAGAGATGCATAGGGCAAAGTATGTGGTAAGGGGCACGCAGCCTCCATGCCCTCTCTGGGTATGCTGCCCTCCCAGCATGCCCACACATTCCCCAGCCTGGAAGCTCTCTGAATACTTCTGAGTCTTTATAGAGGCTTCATTATATAGGTGCGATTGAATAACTCACTGGCCATTGGTATCAACTCAACTTTTAGCCCTCTCTCCTGTCTGGAGGTCAGGGGATGGGGCTGAACATTCCAACCCTCTAATCACCTGGTTGATTCCTCTGCAACCAGCCCCCGTACTTAAGCTATCTAGGGGCCACCAAGAGATGCCTCATTAGAACAGAACACTGCAATCACCCAGGAAATTGCAAGGCATTTAGAGGCTCTGTACAGGAAAAGGAAGAAGACCCAGTATATATTTCTTATTATGAATCACAATATCATCACAGGCTACAGCTAGGTCCTAGGGTCAGCTTTCCTTACACCTGCACGTTCAGATACAGAAGCCCAAGAAGTCCTGAAATTCTAAATTTGAACCGAGACTTCCAGTTTGTTATGAAAATATATTTGTCAAGACAGAATGACAGAACCTATTTAACAGGTTGTCAGCCTGATTTATAACTTTCAAATATTTAACATGTAGTATGTAAACTTCCATTTGTACTCGTCTTAGACCCTGAAAATATTAGGGGTGGGCTAGCCCAGAAACCACAGGACTAGGATCATCAGCACCCAGCAGTGGTAGCCAGTGCGGTCTGAAGATCAGAGGGCTCACCTCCGAATATTCTGGAATGTGCAGGACCCTGGGAAGGTGAAGATACCCTAGTAAATGCCCCCGTTCTGAAAGTAAACATGACAAAACCCAGATTTCCCATCTCCCTTGACCAATGTGGTTCAGAGTCAGATTTAACTTTATTTAAAACAAAATAGGGCAAGGACTTTTGTCTGTCCTGTTCACTGCTTTTTCCCTCCCTAGCACTTAAAATAGTACCAATATACTTTTTTTCTTTCTTTCTGTTTTTTTAGAGACAGGGTCTCACCATGTTGCCCAGGCTGGTGTCAAACTCCTGGCCTCAAGCGATTCTCCTGCCTCAGCCTCCTAAAGTGCTGGGATTACAGGCATAAGCCACCATGCCTGACCCCAATATACTTTTTTTTTTTTTTTTTTGAAACAGAGTCTTGCTCCATTGGCCCAGGCTGGAGTG